TCAGATGAATTGATGGATCAACCTCTAGTCCTGATTTTCAGCTATTCTCATCGTACAATTCCTGTCCTTCAGGTTCAGAAAGAATCTCCTGGGGTCTCATTTATAAACGGTGCGTACGTAGAAAACAGGACTGGAAACATGCGTACGCCACTTCCCAAGCAAAGGTTGTGATCTACAAAAAAAACTTGATGGGAGAATGTGTGGCCCTGTAAGAAACAGCGACTCACATGATATCAGGGAGGCCGAGTGCAGTGGCAGAGGAACAAAGGTGTGGACCCAAGTTGCAGACACGAGGAGGTTGCAGTTCAAATAAAGATTTATTTCAAGCTTACATGAACACAAGGTGAGATTCCAAACAAAGGGGCAACCCAGGAAACGCAGAGTAATCCGAGAAAACAGAATGCAAGGCAGAACACTCAACATAAGACAATGACACTACGAGGACTAAACAGAACTGAGGGCAACATATACACACAAGCAGGCAGGGCAGTTAACACAGGTGAGACACATAATCAATCAGCAGACGGGAAGCAAAGCTAGACAAAACACGAGAAACTGATCACTACAACATAAAACAGGAAGTAAAGCTAGCGACAATACACAAGGACATGTGAAACCAAATACAACAGAGAACAAGCAGGCAACGAAATAAATCGAAATTTTACCTCTGAGTATTATAGGCTTAAAGCCTTTGTGAATAAACAAACACCCGTTTGATTTTTCCTGAAATATGAAAAAAAACACAATTTAAAATCTTTTGCAGGGCACACAAAGAACCAGATGTGGGATAATAAACATTTGTTTCTGCAAAAGAATGTCTCAATTACTGTATGTTGAACAGTTTAATCAGGAATCCCATTAATGAATAGGCTACTTGCATGCAGTGCAATTCATTTTCATAAGTAAGGTGAACAGGAGGACAAATTACATTTAAATTGATGCCGTTTTCAATACGTCAGTCGAGCAAATACGAGAGCCCTTTCCTCCTGTGCACAACCTAGTGTGAAAGTGAATTGTTGTTGTTGTTTTTTACCCATCAAACAACATGCTTCAGCTTCACCAAAAGGAACGTCATTCATTCATTTTGGAGCTTTATTCAGAATTTGCCTCCTTTTCTTCCTGCAGTCAGCATGTATTAATATTAATGAGTTTCACTGACCATTTATAGGCAACTATGGACGTTTGGAGGGTCAGACATGGAGCTCCCTCCCATGCGCCACATTTCAAGTTTATTGTGATTTATATAAGTCTGAATATTTTTTGGCGTAGCCATTTTTGGCTTTTGGGTGTATGGACACTTTTAGTGAAGATTCTACACACAGTTTTATAACTGAGACCCCTGGACTTTTTGAAATGTGCCTAGACCATGGAGTCACTGAGGCTTCATTAAAGTAGGTGCTGTACTGAGCTCAGCAATTTCTCTTTCTTTTAGAGTTAGCATTTTGCAAATTAACCACAGATATGAATTGAAAAATTGCTGTTGTTAAACTCAAAAGATCTTGGGGTGTGTGTGTGTGTGTGTGTTTGTGTGTGTGTGTGTGTGTGTGTGTGTGTGTGTCCTCAGTGAACTGTATCAGTCTCTGCAGTAGCTTCCAGCTGCAGCAGTCAGTTCAGTTTCTGTTCAGTCTGACTGAGGGAGGTTTTTGTACGACGCTTTTTCACTGTGTGAACACACCCTGACCACTGACAGTGTTGGCACCCTGACAATAGTAAACTGCTGAATCTTCAGCCTGGACTCCACTGATGGTCAGAGTGAAGTCAGCCTTTGATCCACTGCCTGTAAAACGACCTGGAATCCCTGACATTCTCTCGTTGGTGTAGCGAATGAGTAGTTTAGTAGTTTCTCCATTTTTCTGTTGGTACCAGGCTAAACAGTAAGCACTGCTACAGCTCCAAACCTCCTGACTGACCCTACAGCTGATGGAGACGGAGGCTCCCAGAGCAGAGCTCACTGCTCCAGGCTGAGTCACTGTGATCTGGCCTCTGGACTCTGAGGATACAGAGACAAACACATAAAGCAGCGTCATGGTTTTGTGGGCTTCATTTCAGAGGGACGGATGTTCATAGAGGAGAGGAGTTTGATTCTCTGGACTTTACCTGTGAAGCAGCAGCAGAGGAGAGTCCAGATGAGGACGGAGACCAAAGTCATGTTTTTGATGAGGAGGATTTCTGTGGCTTCTGTTGTCATGAAGGACAGCTGTCAGTCATCCAGTGTTCAACTCTCAGGACTATAAAGTCTCCCAGAGCACTGGAGCATGGTGCTGCTGATGCAAAGTGGCTCTCTATGGAAATGCTCTGACTGACTCCAACAGGGACTTGGATTACTCCGATGATGCTGCTTCTCAATGGATCAATACGTTTACCAGAGGATTGATTAGGAATGTGTCAGTGATCATTTTTATGGACATTTGCTTTGATGACTGCAGAAAGATTTTCTTTTACAACATCTTCTGTCTGCTTTCATTTCATTCTAGAGGGATCAATTTGACTTTCACACCAATGGAACAATATATACGTAAAAATGGGATTCATTCTGAACAACTGTGTCACTGTTTGATAAATATAACATGAAATAGTTCATTCTTTTAAAAACAGGAAGTGTTTTTGTTGAGTTTGTTGTGTTCAAAGTCAGAGAGCTGTGTCTCTCTACAGTGAGAGGTTTTTGTACGACGACTCAATCAGTTTGTATCACTGTGGTGGACTTTTGGTGGAGGAACCAGACTGGATGTTAACTGTAAGTAATTTTGACTTCTACATGAACTCAGATTCTTTTCATTTTCTTTTTATATTGAATAAAATCAAGCTTTAGTTAAAGATGTTGGTTGATAGTTGAAATTTAATATTATTGCAGTGACCATTACTTCACTGTGATACAGATAAAATTCTGTCTGATGAAGAAACTCTTTAGTTACACTTAAAATGTTCATTTACACAGTTTGTATATTTTCATTGTTTTACTGTTCTTAAAAACTACAGTTAGTTGTTAAAGAAAATATTTTGATTCGTAATTTTGTCCTCAGAAAAAATCTGATGGAAAAACAGAAAATATACTGAATTGATTTAAATGTAAAAATCTTCAATTTTCAGCTGAAGAAATCTATCAAGCATTTATTTAGTGAGTGTTTTATCTGGAAACATTGAATGTGTTTTACTCAGTCTTCCTCCCAGACTGATGAATTTAACAACATGTCACATCCTCACTATAACCAATGAATATCATAATATCACTGCAGTTAGTTTAATCACATGCTGTATTGGTAGAATATTTGTTTGATCTGGAAAAAGCATTTGTAGCACTTCAAACTGTTTTCAGTAGTTCAGTCCGTCTGTTGTTGTGGTTCAGTAGTGATGTCTGCGTAAATGAAGACAGCAAACACACACCGTCTCTGATGAGTTTGGATTTGAGCTGAAAAATCTGAAGAACAAATAAAAGTCTTAAATTGTTGAACTCTGAAGTTTAAGATGTTAATTCAGCTAAAGAAAGAGTTTCCCGCCTGAAACTTTATCTTCATGGTTCAGCAGTGATGCCTGTCTGTTGCCATGGTTACTGAGCTGAGAGAGGGAAGTGAAACCCTGAAGACCAGTTTCATCCAGTCTGAGGAAGACCAACAGAACCAGCAGCCTCCTCTGCTGCAACCAACAGGGTGGAGTTTATTTTCTCTGTGCATGAACTTTCTTCATGTTGTCTCTCTGTCTCCTCCTCCAGTGGGTGATGTCCGTCCCACCCTGACGGTGCTGCCCCCCTCCAGCGAGGAGCTGCAGCAGGGGAAGGCCACGCTCATGTGCCTGGCCAACAAGGGCTTCCCCTCAGACTGGAGTCTGGCCTGGAAGGTGGACGGCAGCAGCAGCAGCAGCAGCAGCTGGGAGGAGAGCAGGAGCCCCGGGGTGCTGCAGAAGGACGGCCACTACAGCTGGAGCAGCACCCTGAGGCTCTCTGCAGACCAGTGGAGGAAGGTGGGCTCTGTGACCTGTGAGGCCACCCAGGGCTCCCAGACTCCGCTCTCAGAGACACTGAGGAGAGACCAGTGTTCCCAGTCCTGACCTGACTCACTGGGACTCTGCTACTGGTTTTCCTCTGCTCCTGCTCTCACTCTGCACTCTGGAACTGTCTCTCTCTTTTATTTGACATCTTTCAACAGCAAGATTTACTAGCTTGTTGCACTGTTTCAATATTATTTCAGTGTTTCCAGATAATAAAGACCTTTTCATCCAATCAGCTGTTTTCATGTTTATTATTATCAAAGTGTCTTAAAAAAAACTTTTGTCACTGAGCTGACACAAAATGCAGTAATATTCCCACAGTGACTTATAATAAAACAAACACTGATTTTCACTAATCAGACACTAGTGACAAATTTATATGTACTCTCAAAATACAGTATATATGGCTATAAATCGACTTGATTGATTTTTATAAGGCCATAACTTGTTATCGACACGAATGCCTTCAGGACTGTAAAAGTTTTTTCTGCTTTCAAATATCTTTAAATAGTAAAATGTCTTAATGGTAATGAATGAAATGTTAAACGTCATAAAATAATAAAACTACACGTTTGTCAAATAGTTTCTAAATCTGAAATAAAAAGCACAACATCATCAGTATAGAGAGAAGTGAAATGAGTGTAATCTGCTGTTCTAACCAGGAACTATTTACAAACTGCTTCTGCTGATGAACCACAAAGACAAATTAAACGAAAGCAAACAATTAGAATGCTGATGATATGCTTTATACATAAACAAATGAATTTATAGTATATCTGAGATTCAATGAAAAAATGGTAAGATATAAAATAATAAATAATATTTACAATCTGTGTGTCCTTCAGTTTTCATGAATATCACACACATCATAATTCAACAGAGGTTAGCTTTAATGTTCAGAAGAATGGTTCAAAATCTGTTTTAATAAACATATTAGAAGTATAACTTCTAGAATATATATATTAAAGAAGATTTAGTGTTGCAATCATTAATGTGAATAATTATTGGCTAAATGAGCATTTTTATAAACCTCTGTTTTAGTTTCAGTGCAGCTGTTGAGTCAGATCAGTTCCTCTCCAGCTGAGGGAGGTTTTTGTACGACGTTGTATCACTGTGTGGATGGGAAGCTGTCACCCTGCTGACAGTAGTAAACTCCTGAATCTTCAGCCTGAACTCCACTGATGGTCAGAGTGAAGTCAGTCCCAGATCCTCTTCCACTAAAACGATCTGGAACTCCAGACTGACGGGTTGTAGCATAATAAATCAGGAGTTTAGGAGCTTCTCCAGGTTTCTGAAGGTACCAGTGGAGGGAGCTATAAACAAGAATAGTAACACTTGCACTGGTTTTACATTTGAGAGAGACAGCCTGTCCTGGAACAACAGACTGAGATCCAGGAGACTGAGTCAGGATGGTTTGTCCTGATGAACCTGGAAAAGATGAAAAAGAGGAGAAGGGTTATTGAGACAAATCCAAATGCTGCTTGTTTCAGTGTTTCTCCATCACAGCAGAACATCATTGTGGTGAAGCTGGTTGCATCCTGAAGCAAAGTTTTCAGAAGAGAGTCTCACCCTGAACAAGGAGCCCCAGGGTGGCCAGCAGTAGAATCAGTGACATCATCATTGTGCTGCCGGCGTGTCAGTGGCTCTGAAAGGCCTGGACAGCCACTGATCAACACTGGCCTCTTAACGGCTGGGAGCAGAGAGGCAGGACAGATATGCAAACACACAGAGTCAGTGAACTGTAGCTGTCCTCAACATATCATGCTGTTTCCTCCTCACTGCTGGGACAGCAGCCTGCTTAAAACATCCTCATGCAGATTAACCCAAACACAGTATGCTATACAGTAACTGACAAGTAATCTTTTTAAACAAGGAAATTATTTTGTTCATTATTTAATAACAAATTTACAAAGACTTATAATGATAATACTATTTTTTATAAGAGAGATCTGGGTAAGAGGGCAGCATGAAAACAGAATTAGAAAAACATGAGACCAAACACTTTAAATCTTGTAGAAATCCTGAGATTATTCATGGATTTTATGACATTAGACTTCAAGTGCTGCCATTAATCAAGTCAAGTCACTTTATTTATATTGCACATGTAAAAAAACAGGAGCTCACCTAAAGTGCTTTACAGGTACTCACTGCACAAAATTACAAGTATATGGTTAAAATCAAAATCAAAGAAACTATAAAAGGAAATAAATAAGAACAACGTCAGATTGAAATGGTGCAAGTGAACGATTAAAATAATTCAATATGGGCCTGAAAATGTGGGCCAGAATCAGGTAAATGCCAAAAAAAAGGTAGATCTTTAAATTTGATTTGAAGATCTCCATGGTGGGGCAGGACTAAGTGACCTAGGCACAGAATATGTACTTAGCATATCGTCAGTAAACACAAGAACTGCATCCTGCTTGTTTGGGTCTTGCGTTTGGGTCCTAACCTGCCTCTGCACTCGGCCAACACCGACAATAATGTATTGTGGAGCTAAACTATTGAGGGCTTAAAAAAAATTGCGCATCTGGTATGTAAAACTGCAGCATAACAGTGATAAAAATCATTGTACTTCTGAAAGCTAGTGCCAAGGGGAAGCATGTATTGTTATGGCAGACTAGGCAAATGGACTCAAAAGCAGACTCGGGACCGGTTAAAATCCAGGAATTTAAAGTTTATTGAAAAGTCGGGTGACTGCAGAGTAGAGGGCAGACCAGGGAATGGAGACCAGCGAGTGAACTTCCAGGCAGGCCGTGAGCTGAGTGAGGCAGTGGCAGAATTTCCAGGCAGTCAGCGATCCTGAGCACAGGGAGACAAAGTAAGTGATCTCACAAGAAACAACCAATAGAATATATAACACAAGACTAGTTGGCCGCAGCGCAAATACCACTGAGGTAAGCTGACGATCTGGCAACGAGTGAGGTGAAGAACGGGGTTGATATACTGTAGAGTCTTGATTAGTGGAATGTGGATCAGGTGTGCAGGTGGAGCGCCAGGCACAGAGTGAGAAGCCACGCCCAGACAACACAGAGAGATAGACAGACTAACAGGAGACACAGGGAGGGAAGAGAACATAAACACAAGGGGTCGGGGAGGAGAACTGTAGACTCATAACATGTATAGCCAGAATAAGAGGGCCTAAAACTGAGCCTTGAGGGATGCCGCATTTCATAGCAGTGAGAATTATTTCTCTCAGGTAAGGGGTAAACCAACACTGTGAGAAGGATGTCATTATGTATCTTAACAGGGCAGAGTCAGTAGTATGATGTTCTCTAAAAACCAGTTTGGAATTTGTCAATGATGTTTAATGTGTTCAAGTACGAGGACGAATAAATGGAAGCTTGGAGAGAGCCTGTAGTTTTTGTCACTGGAGTCAAGGGTAGGGTTCCATAAAAGGGGTTGCAGAATTGCATGTTTAAAACTGGAGGGAACAACACCCTTGGTTAAGGAACTGCTAATTATCACCTGAATAAGACTTGAGTCTTGAGAACTTACTTGACTTGACAGAATATTGTCTAAGGGACAGCAGGGATTCATATGCATGACCACCTCCAGCAGCTGTGAAGATAGCACAGATGGAAACTGTTGTGTAAATTACAGTGAACCTCTACATAGACTGCAGAGATATGTTACCCTCTGTGTCACAGTGCTAAACTGATTCAGTCCTTATCTGTCAGGCAGACGTGATGTTGTCTCACTTGGTCACATTCATCAGCAACAGCCAGTTATAAACTCGGTGTCCCACAAGACTCAATCTCTGCTGACTTTACATGCTGCATTTGCTTTATAGCAGGAGACATGGAATTCATTTACATTACACTTCATTTAGCTGACGCTTTTATCCAAAGCGAGTTACAATTGCTATATGGGTCAGAGGTCGCACACCTCTGGAGCAACTAACACTAAGTGTCTTGCTCAGGGACACACTGGTGGATGTGTCACAGTGGGGAACCTGGGTCTCTCACACCAAAGGCATGTGTCTTATCCACTGTTCCATCACCACCCCATATCATTTGTATATGTATGTAGATGATAAACACCTGTGCATTTTTTTTATCACAAAATTACCTCTGCCTGGTCAATAAACATGTACATTTCTGTGTTAATTATACATATTTATCACAAATTCCAGCAGCTGAACAGAGATGAGACTGAGAAAGTTGAGATTCCTCTACATGCATAAACCACCATGAAGGGAAATGGGACTTTTTATCAGCTTGCAAAACAGTTGGAGCCTTTTTCTCTTTGGTAACAACAGTGAGTGAGTAAAGGGAAGGGTAAAGTGCTTTCCATCTAGAGACACAGAACTTACATGTAAAAAGATTACCTAGGAAAGACGACTTTGAAGTAAAACATTATGTGATTAACTAATGTTATGATGATATTGATATTGAACAATAGAATAGCCTAAATCAGTTTTAATCATTATGAGTGCATTTTTCTTGCTTAATTAAAAAAGTTGTAGACACCTAGATTGTTTCTTTACCAAGGAAAGAATTTACTAGGTATAGTGTGTTTAACGTCTTTAAAGGTTCTTAGTTGTTCTAGCCAAATAAATGAACAAATCCTTGTGGCCTATTTTCCTGGCCACTAAATATTGTTATAGCAACCATACCAAGTGTACTGACCAATGAGAGGAGAGCTGCCATGTTGTGGTATCTGGCTCTAGGGCTGTTCAGTCAGGTGCTATTTCAGAGTAAGCAGTGTAGGCATCCTGATGAAGAAAGTTAGAAGCTAGTTGAATCTTCTCACAACCAGCTTAAACAGTCTCCAGTTATACCTAATAGGGTAAATACCTCTAGACCTGAGGATCTGACTCTTCTGCCAGAGAGCTGGACCAGTACCTCAGTAAGTTCTGATTGTTGGAGCGCCTTAAACTCTCAGACACTAAATAGGAAGACGAATGCTGACGATCTTGATATGCTGTATGATAGAGGTCTTCATTGATCATTGAGCTTCACAGATCTTGAAGAACTGAGACCTGACCCAGAGCCCAAGTCATCCTGGGTTCCACTTACATACTAATCTGGTCTTCTCAGGTCAGGCAGGGTCTTGTTTTACTGCCAAATATTTCAGGTCTGTGAGTTTAATACCTGAGTGGATCTGCATGAATCGAGACTCAGTGTGAAGAGAATGAAACTGATTCGGATTAAAGTGCTTCGAAATACATTACCTTTAGTCTATCTGTTGGTCCACGGGGTGAAAACACGATTTTTAATATTATGTTTGATGATAGTTTCTCTTTATTGGGTTATAGCACTTTATCATAATTACACTGAATTATTGCTGCTGTTTTTGACCACAGCTGCTTGTTAATTGTTAGCTCATCATGCTGCTGCCATGAAGGTGTAATCTCTCTCTATTAGGTTTTATCCATACCGGGACTGGTTGAGCTCAGGACCCCTTCTGATCCAATCTCTGTTTTTTGGATAGTAAGTTATGAATGTCAGGTTCAGGTAGGTTTACCACAGGTCAGATGCAGACTGGACCTGTCTGACCTCTACTGTATGTGTCCAATCCTAAATGTTATTCTGCCTTTAGACAGTCGCAGGTTGTTCAGTGACATGTACTGTATGAACTGTGGCCCAGAATCCATTATGTTTCTGAGTGTCAGTGTTTCTGCCACAGAAAACATTTGTTGCATTGCAGATATGGAGCTTCAGTGTCCTGAGATTTCAGTGTGATGTGTGGACGTTGATGTTTGATATATTGTGAATTTGGTTTGTGTCTCTACATCAGTGGAGCTGACTCTGCTGCTGTTGTGGTTTTAATGGTCTGACTGGGCTTCTTCACTGGAACTGTTCTCTTCATCTGAGGAAACTTTCAGCTTGTTGAGGAGGACTGTTTGAACTTCAGGAGGAAAACTGCTGGAGACGCAATGAGCATCACAAATCATCTGTGTGTGTGTGTGTGTGTGTGTGTGTGTGTGTGTGTGTGTGTGTGTCCTCAGTGAACTGTATCAGTCTCTGCAGTAGCTTCCAGCTGCAGCAGTCAGTTCAGTTTCTGTTCAGTCTGACTGAGGGAGGTTTTTGTACGACGCTTTTTCACTGTGTGAACACGTACTGACTGTTGACAGTGTTGATACCCTGACAGAAGTAAACTGCTGAATCTTCAGCCTGAACTCCACTGATGGTCAGAGTGAAGTCAGTCTTCGATCCACTGCCAGAAAAACGATCTGAAATCCCTGACATTCTCTCATTGGTGTAGCGAATGAGTAGTTTAGGAGTTTCTCCATCTTTCTGTTGGTACCAGGCTAAACAGTAAGCACTGCTACAGCTCCAAACCTCCTGACTGACCCTACAGCTGATGGAGACGGAGGCTCCCAGAGCAGAGCTCACTGCTCCAGGCTGAGTCACTGTGATCTGGCCTCTGGACTCTGAGGATACAGAGACAAACACATAAAGCAGCGTCATGGTTTTGTGGGCTTCATTTCAGAGGGACGGATGTTCATAGAGGAGAGGAGTTTGATTCTCTGGACTTTACCTGTGAAGCAGCAGCAGAGGAGAGTCCAGATGAGGACGGAGACCAAAGTCATGTTTTTGATGAGGAGGATTTCTGTGGCTTCTGTTGTCATGAAGGACAGCTGTCAGTCATCCAGTGTTCAACTCTCAGGACTATAAAGTCTCCCAGAGCACTGGAGCATGGTGCTGCTGATGCAAAGTGGCTCTCTATGGAAATGCTCTGACTGACTCCAACAGGGACTTGGATTACTCTGATGATGCTGCTTCTCAATGGATCAATACGTTTACCAGAGGATTGATTAGGAATGTGTCAGTGATCATTTTTATGGACATTTGCTTTGATGACTGCAGAAAGATTTTCTTTTACAACATCTTCTGTCTGCTTTCATTTCATTCTAGAGGGATCAATTTGACTTTCACACCAATGGAACAATATATATGTAAAAATGGGATTCATTCTGAACAACTGTGTCACTGTTTGATAAACATAACATGAAATAGTCCATTCTTTTAAAAACAGGAAGTGTTTTTGTTGAGTTTGTTGTGTTCAAAGTCAGAGAGCCGTGTCTCTCTACAGTGAGAGGTTTTTGTACGACGACTCAATCAGTTTGTATCACTGTGGTGGACTTTTGGTGGAGGAACCAGACTGGAGTTTGGAAGTAAGTTTCTGCACAAATATTAAATATCGTATCATCAGCGAAGGTTTTAATTTCTGTGTCTGAACATTTGTAGTAGATATAAATTTCCTCTGGACTGATCTAAATCACTTTAAAGACTCAATCTTATTGTTCGTTTCTCCTGTTTAACCATGAAGCTGAACTCAAAGCAGCTTTACTGAACTTCTCTTTAAACGTTCCATTTAATTTGTGAAATGTGAACAGCTTGAACTGCAGCAAAGATTAAAGAACAACACTCGTACTTTAATTCTGCATTTTAAACTGTTTAGAAGTTGAGTTAAAATTATTTTGAATAGTGTGAATGAAGATAAAAATGTTTCCAAATCTCTGATCTTCTAAAATGGCTCAAATTGTCTTTTAACCTCAGTTTGAAATAATGTTGACAGTTCTCTGATGCTGTTTTTAAATCTGTCTGAGGAACAGGTTACCTGTGGTCGTCAGGTATTTTGGGCTGATAATGTCCTTTAACAGTGGATCTCAGTAACTTTTGCCCTTTTGAGAGTTTTGACAGTAAATATGTTTTTTTTATTTCTAAATTTAAAACCTGGTTGTTTTATTTCCAGTGCAGTTTGATATCTTTCAGCTCATATGAGGACTCTTTCTGTGCTGATATGCATGAGAGGTTTCTTAAAGGAAGTGAAACAATGTGTGAGTGAGTGACTGGTGGAGCAGAAACCAGCTGTGTGGTCCCCGTCCTCTAAGCCGATTGGTTCTTCTCCTAGGTGATGCCCGTCCCACCCTGACGGTGCTGCCCCCCTCCAGCGAGGAGCTGCAGCAGGGGAAGGCCACGCTCATGTGCCTGGCCAACAAGGGCTTCCCCTCAGACTGGAGTCTGGCCTGGAAGGTGGACGGCAGCAGCAGCAGCAGCAGCTGGGAGGAGAGCAGGAGCCCCGGGGTGCTGCAGAAGGACGGCCACTACAGCTGGAGCAGCACCCTGAGGCTCTCTGCAGACCAGTGGAGGAAGGTGGGCTCTGTGACCTGTGAGGCCACCCAGGGCTCCCAGACTCCGCTCTCAGAGACACTGAGGAGAGACCAGTGTTCCCAGTCCTGACCTGACTCACTGGGACTCTGCTACTGGTTTTCCTCTGCTCCTGCTCTCACTCTGCACTCTGGAACTGTCTCTCTCTTTTATTTGACATCTTTCAACAGCAAGATTTACTAGCTTGTTGCACTGTTTCAATATTATTTCAGTGTTTCCAGATAATAAAGACCTTTTCATCCAATCAGCTGTTTTCATGTTTATTATCATCAAAGTGTCTTAATAAATGTTCTCTTGATGGTGTCAGTGACTGTGTTACATCCAGAGAACAACAGTTTAACATCAATATATTTCTAAAGTTACAGTATATTGAGAGATTTTAAAGTCAGACATAACTCCTCATTATATTTTGATTAGTACAAACCAGTGATGGTCGTAGAATTCCATATTTTTTCACAATCAATTTGAATTCATTCATGACTGTAAAACCTTTCCTGCTGTCGTTACAGATTTTTCTGTAATAATAAACCTTTTTGGAACAAAATCCCTGGTAAAACTGTCTTAATGGTAATAACTTTAATCTTGTAATTGTTTGTTTATCCAAAGAACCTTTTCATTTGAATAAAACTAAAGATGATAAAAGGAAATAATTCAAATGTTGCTGATTTATTTACTCCATGAACCTTTTGGTTCCATTATGAAATAAATGTGTTTGCTGGAATAAAAAACACAAATTAAGTTATTTATACATGTTGTTATAGACATGATTGGTCATTTTGACTAGATGAATGAAATTAGATTTTATTGAGATGATATTTCGTTAAGTATGTTGAAGTTCCTATGAAAAATCGTAAGATATAAAATCATAAAAATTTACAATTTTAGTGTTATGATACTCTGTGAATTTCAGAAGAATAGTTCAATTAGATTATAAATGTTTGGCTTAAATACAGAATATTTAGTGTTGAAATGTTTAAAGTGTTGTTGTTATTGTCTAAATGTTTTTTATAAACCTCTGTTTTAGTTTCAGTGCAGCTGTTGAGTCAGATCAGTTCCTCTCCAGCTGAGGGAGGTTTTTGTACGACGTTGTATCACTGTGTGAACGGTCTGCTGTTACTCTGCTGACAGTAGTAAACTCCTGAATCTTCAGCCTGAACTCCACTGATGGTCAGAGTGAAGTCAGTCCCAGATCCACTTCCACTAAAACGATCTGGAACTCCAGACTGACGGGTTGTAGCATAATAAATCAGGAGTTTAGGAGCTTCTCCAGGTTTCTGAAGGTACCAGTGGAGCCAGCTAGACCCATAACTAGTAACACTTGTACTGGTTTTACATTTGAGAGAGACAGCCTGTCCTGGAACAGCAGACTGAGATCCAGGAGACTGAGTCACCGTGATTTGTCCTGATGAACCTGGAAAAGATGAAAAAGAGGAGAAGGGTTATTGAGACAAATCCAGCTTGGAGAAAGATGATCAGCATCCAAACAGAAGAGTCTCATTTCTTTAAGATGGAGAACAGATGGAAGAAGGTAAATGCTGCTTGTTTCAGTGTTTCTCCATCACAGCAGAACATCATTGTGGTGAAGCTGGTTGCATCCTGAAGCAAAGTTTTCAGAAGAGAGTCTCACCCTGAACAAGGAGCCCCAGGGTGGCCAGCAGTAGAATCAGTGACATCATCATTGTGCTGCCGGCGTGTCAGTGGCTCTGAAAGGCCTGGACAGCCACTGATCAACACTGGCCTCTTAACGGCTGGGAGCAGAGAGGCAGGACAGATATGCAAACACACAGAGTCAGTGAACTGTAGCTGTCCTCAACATATCATGCTGTTTCCTCCTCACTGCTGGGACAGCTGCCTCACAAACAGGCTATATTTGTGACATGAAAAAAACAAATTTGAAATTTTTCAAATGTACGCTTCTGTTAGTTTAACTTTGTTTTAAAAAAGAGATGTCTTTTCATTGTAAAGGTTTCAAATTGACCTCAAACTGTCTTTGGGTTGAATTCATGCAGCAGAGTGACGACAATTCAAAGTTAGACAATCAAGGCACACAAGCACAGTAATTTATAGATCGAAGTGAAGATGAAACGGCTTCCTGGCAGGTTAGCAAGTCAGAACAGATTTAAATCAATGTAAAAGAAATGTTGCAGGTAAGGGGTACAGGTAGATAGGATGTAGCAGTTGTTAACCTTTCCTGCTCTCCACTGAGGAGGTGACCAGACACTGTTCTGGACTCACAGAAGATCTAAGCCGGTGTTCAACCCACTGGTTGAATGGGCTGCCTCTGTCCGCTGGGTTGACGGGCTGGCAGTGGTCTGTTCACGGGTGTTGGTCTGCAGTGTGGTCGCAACAGGTAGAAAGGGAAACAGACCGAGTGCTGTGAAAAAACATCATGTGATCAGGCACACCTGCTGCCACTCACTCATGCAGCCGAGGCATGGGGGGGGCACTACCTGAGAGAGAGAGAGAGAGAGAGAGAGAGAGAGAGAGAGAGAGAGAGAGAGAGAGAGAGAGAGAGAGAGAGAGAGAGAGAGAGAGAGAGAGAGAGAGAGAGAGAGAGAGAGAGAGAGAGAGAGAGAGAGAGAGAGAGAGAACACAACCCAACCCAAACATGACCCGTAGGGTCGTAACAAGCAGTCTCTTCTTACGTATTTGGTGGTATTTAAATTAGGCTGTGTCGAGATCCCGAAGCACAGACGTTTCGCAACACTGCTCCAAACCATGGTTCAAAACGTCAATGTCACGTGACCGCAGTGAAGCGAGGCTTCAGAGCGTCTCACCCCTGTTTCGACAGGTGGCACACCTGCCGTTTCTACACTTGATTCGCAGTGTTTGGAACAAACCGCACATCAGCCTCTAACTCATTTGACAGATTTGTTCCAAGGACACACAATCATTTGATTTATTGGAGCGTGCTGTAGTATATCCGCACCTGTAGGCCTATGATGGCAAAAAAATATTTATCTTTGCCAGCAACAAATGTTCCATGTGACCAAATTTTTCCAAGGCTGGGGAAAAACCCGACTCAGCCCCAAAACAACTGAATATTTCTGAATACTATTCTTGACATATAACAAATATGAGACATTGTTCCACTTTTCTTAAAACAACTTCAACTTTACTCAGTTACGGATTTTTAATCCATTACACCTCATCACTGCCAGCACTCATTATTATTATTAATTATTATTACACTAGGGCCAATATCTTTTCTGCTAATTATCATTCCACCTTTATTAATAAGCTACTGTATAATACCGTAGATATTCACATTTATTGTCATTTATTATTAGGCTATATTCTTAGATTTGTATACTATATTATATTCTCTAATCACTAAATTCTACCTAGTATTTTTATTCCTTTTATGCCTTGCGAGTATCTGCAACAAAGACTTCACCGTGGTAGATCAATAAAGTATTCCGATTCTGAACACGAACAAGTTGTCTCTATGGGGTAGTGGTTAATACACATGCCTTTGGTGTGCTAAATGAGTGATTACTTACGAAACAACACACAGATGTGTTTTAGCCTATTTAAACACACTTTTATTGCAATCCCCATCTGCTGTCTCTGACAATCTGAAAGCGTTTCTTTGTTGTATGGTGATTTCTCCGAAATCCTGTTGGTCATGTATTGATAAGACATTTAGAATAGTAAACGCGGGTCAGTCATTGTTTCAATGAAACCCCGACCAAGATGTGTCGATATCAAAAGTGACCAGTAGGTGTCACCGTGGAGACGGGAGTCGAAGATTTCGAAGCCTCGACACAATTCCGGCACAATTGCTTCAAACGTTTCAATGTTTCACAAAGCCTCGCTTTGCCCATCACTAATTTAAATCCCCTGTTTCCAATACATTTTGGCTCAATGTCAACATTCCTTTGAGTTGACATTGGGTCTTCTGGGATCATTGAGATCACCTGTTGCACAGGGTGTGGGAACTGACTCCTTAACAATGATTGAGAGCAGCTTGGTGATTCTCTTCTTGGCAAATCAGGGTGTGATGACGCCCATTCTTGAAGGCATAAGAGAGGTGGGCAACAGCACAGCCAGGGCTAGTGACAAAGCCTCGTGAAGATTTATAGGCTTTTTTTCTGATTGTAAGTGCTGCAAGAACTGTAGCCTACATGTTGCTACCTGCCACTATGTCTAAATAAGGTTTCAAAAAGTTTCCTTAAATTATCATTATCTGCTATAACAGCAAACCAGGCAGTCTAAGCTACAATAAAATGTGGTGTCCGAACAATAATGCTGCGATGACGTGTTGAGAAGAAATCCGCTTGACACGCGTCAAATGCACATATGTTATACACCACAAAAGAAAGCACACTGTAAAATACTTCACCTCTGGACCTCTGCAGTGGCACTGGCTGTTGCATTTGACACATGCTGCTGTGCATTCAGATGGCTGTCAAGCCTCCCCACCGCATTTTGAAATTGCTGATTTTGTCCAACCCACTTTTTGAAAGCATTTGTTAAAAATGTTCTGAAAAATAGGTTGTACCAAAAAATGTTACCTAACAAATGAAAATGTTTTGAGAAAGGTTTATTTGCATTAAGAAAACATGCAATGAAATTTAAATATAGAAGAAACAAATGTGCACTGTTCAAAAAAAGTAACTTAAGTTATAAAAAATGCCTTATACAGTATTCTGTATTCTATTTTATATTCATGAATTGTCCCTTCAGCTGAATTTTTTTGTTTCCCTTTGAATAAATAAAGACATTTCCACCATAAATTGGAGCAGAAAATGTCTCCAGAATGCAGGAAATTAAGTGTTTAATGCTTCAATTTTGGGGGGGAAGACCCCCAGACCCCCACTCATATATTTCAGATTTCTTCAAAATGGTGTTAAAAATCTTCTCGTCTTGTTGTTGTGCATCATCATGTCTCATGACCCAAAATGTATCATCATGCCCCAAATTTGAGCACTTGTGTCCCCCCACTTTTCAACACAAAGTGAAATGCACAGAACTGTTCATTGGGGAGACTAAACAACCACTACACAAACGCATGGCTCAACACAGAAGGGCCAACTCCTCAGGTCAAGACTCTGCAGTCTACTTACATCTGAAGGACAGAGGACACTCGTTTGAGGACCACCAGGTGCACATTTTAGACAGAGAGGATGGATGGTTTGAAAGAGGTGTCAAGGAAGCATCTACACCAGGGTTGAGAAGCTGTCGCTGAACAGAGGAGGGGGTCTACGCCACCACTTATCCCCCACATACAATGCTGTCCTTTCATCACTTCCCAGGAAACTGAACAAGCGTAACCTATTGGCCTCAGGTGAAGATACCAATGATGTTGTTACCACTGCCAGGAGCACAAATGAACCAGCGGTATCGATGATCCTAGCTAACGACCCCACAGAGGTTAAATAGCTGAGTTTCCCTACCGATCAGTCAGAACTGAAGAAGTCTCTTGGATGAGAGACAAAACATCTTCCATTATCTTCAACCAAGTCCAGTTGCCTTGACTTTAACCTTCTTTGGATAACTATGACCTGGATGACTGAGAACCTTCACAGACATGTTATAGTTATAGTAGCTAGTTATAATTCTTCCATTTTTGAAAATGCTCCTTTACTGCTGAAGTTGATGTCCTGCACAATAGGTTTCAGTTGGATTTAAAGGGGCTATACGTAGTTTTAAAAAAATTAACAAATCACTTTTTTATTGCCTGTGGGTGAAGATGTTGTAACCTCACACACAAACGATCCACTTACTGGGTTTTATTGTGACCTCTGAAGGCCAGTATGCCAGTTCCTATATGGAGGAAATCTGGAGGAAGACTCAGGGTTGGATTTTACAGAAATCCCTTGCTTTGATGCACTCTTGCCTTGTCTACTGACCCAGCGCTACGACACTGCAGCTACTGACATGAAGTTCCCTAAAACAAAAACACAACCAGGTCCCAGCACAACACAGACGACAAAACAAACTCCAAGTCAGGATAAAAAACAAGAATAAAAGTCACAGAAAGCGTTGAAAGGGCAGTCGACATCAGAGAGGCTTCAGACATCCACCTTGTTTTGGAACCAACAAAACTGACCCAGACTTGGCTTTCTTCCTGTTGGACAGGTAAACTAATATTACAGCAAGGCACATTAAATAAATTGTGATTTTGTGCTTTAGTTGGCTCATGTTATATAACATTAGCTCGCCGGCTAACACTGACCAGTTGCTAATGTTATCCTTTGCTAAATACTGTAGTTTCATGGCTTTCCACATCACCAGCTAACGTGACCCATCTTACTATCCTGTGTACAACCGGTATTATGTCAAAGTGTTGATTTGAGACTCCAACAAATGATGGAACTGTACAAAGCAAATGTGGAGTGGGAGTTTATGTGCGTTTCAGCATGTTGTGTGATGCTGTCTCCCGATGTGCCAGATTCTGCTCGCTCATGAGTTCAAGCACGAGCGCACACGGTCGCAATCTAAAACCTGCACCGCTGAAAACTATATACTGCCCCTTTAGTTCATTTTGGGAGCAAAACAGTCAAGAGGAAGTTAACAACTTCATCTTTTAATTGTGAACATGTGAAACAGAACTGATGGTTTCTGAAGTTATTTGTTCCAATTAAAACTCAAAGTTGTGGTACTTTGGAAAACACAGATGATACACATAATGCAGATAATACACAGTCGTACATTTTTCACCAAATGATTTCTGTTGATAAAAATGTGCTTATTTTTTCATCAGAATCATTACTGAATGTGACAAATTCCACGCTGTTAATGAAAGACAAAACAGAATTTATTATATTTAGAACAACTTGAAATCTCTGTGCTAAATGTCAAGCGGTTCACTGACCTCATGCACCGCATGATGTCCACTGTCCAAACCTCACTTCACATGGTGCATTCCATCCCCAAAACATTCAGCATTGTTTGGTCAGACAGCTTTTGAAACTTCTTCTGAAGATCCCTCAAGTTGTGCTTCAAACCGCCTCATGCATCATCGAAAACACACCAATGTGTCCCTGAACAAGGAACTTAACCCCTCGTTGCTCCAGAGGTATGTGACCTCTGACATTTATAGCAATAGTAAGTTGCTTTGGATGAAAACGTCATCTACATGAATACATGTAAATCACACCCCTACAAAGAACTTATCTAGTTTTTGGACTCATGGTGCAACCACATTGATCAACATATGCTCATATTTTATGTTTTCAGTTCTGTGAATTTGTAATTTTCTTCCAGCTCCATGATGTCGATCTCTGTCTCCTGTCTCAGCTTTGTATACTGTGTCTGATGGAGGTCAGGGTGATGTTTGCTGGAGCACAGTGGAACCACCTTTTGAAAAATGTATATTTGGTGAGTGGACAGTGTTGGATAAAAGTGATTAAAACCAAATTAATTAATACACTGAAATGAAAAGTAAGAGACATCATCTGAGTTTGATCCTCTGCTTGCTGTTTTCACTCAGCTGTGGTTTGTTGGTCGACATCAATGAAGCTGACATGTTGGATATTAACGTTTAGTGTGTGTGTGTGTGTGTGTGTGTGTGTGTGTGTGTGTGTGTGTGTGTGTCCTCAGTGAACTGTATCAGTCTCTGCAGTAGCTTCCAGCTGCAGCAGTCAGTTCAGTTTCTGTTCAGTCTGACTGAGGGAGGTTTTTGTACGATGCTTCTTCACTGTGTGAACAACCACTGACTGATATAGTGTGTACTCTGACAGTAGTAAACTGCTGCATCTTCAGCTTGAACCCCACTGATGGTCAGAGTGAAATCAGTCCCAGATCCACTGCCTGAAAAACGACCTGGAATCCCTGACATTCTCTCGTTGGTGTTGCGAATGAGTAGTTTAGGAGTTTCTCCTTCTCTCTGTTGGTACCAGTGTAAACAGTAAGCACTGCTACAGCTCCGAACCTGTGGACTGACCCTACAGCTGATGGAGACGGAGGCTCCCAGAGCAGAGCTCACTGCTCCAGGCTGAGTCACTGTGATCTGGCCTCTGGACTCTGAGGATACAGAGACAAACACATAAAGCAGCGTCATGGTTTTGTGGGCTTCATTTCAGAGGGACGGATGTTCATAGAGGAGAGGAGTTTGATTCTCTGGACTTTATCTGTGAAGCAGCAGCAGAGGAGAGTCCAGATGAGGACGGAGACCAAAGTCATGTTTTTGATGAGGAGGATTTCTGTGGCTTCTGTTGTCATGAAGGACAGCTGTCAGTCATCCAGTGTTCAACTCTCAGGACTATAAAGTCTCCCAGAGCACTGGAGCATGGTGCTGCTGATGCAAAGTGGCTCTCTATGGAAATGCTCTGACTGACTCCAACAGGGACTTGGATTACTCTGATGATGCTGCTTCTCAATGGATCAATACGTTTACCAGAGGATTGATTAGGAATGTGTCAGTGATCATTTTTATGGACATTTGCTTTGATGACTGCAGAAAGATTTTCTTTTACAACATCTTCTGTCTGCTTTCATTTCATTCTAGAGGGATCAATTTGACTTTCACACCAATGGAACAATATATACGTAAAAATGGGATTCATTCTGAACAACTGTGTCACTGTTTGATAAATATAACATGAAATAGTTCATTCTTTTAAAAACAGCAAGTGTTTTTGTTGAGTTTGTTGTGTTCAAAGTCAGAGAGCCGTGTCTCTCTACAGTGAGAGGTTTTTGTACGACGACTCAATCAGTTTGTATCACTGTGGTGGACTTTTGGTGGAGGAACCAGACTGGAGTTTGGAAGTAAGTTTCTGCACAAATATTAAATATCGTATCATCAGCGAAGGTTTTAATTTCTGTGTCTGAACATTTGTAGTAGATATAAATTTCCTCTGGACTGATCTAAATCACTTTAAAGACTCAATCTTATTGTTCGTTTCTCCTGTTTAACCATGAAGCTGAACTCAAAGCAGCTTTACTGAACTTCTCTTTAAACGTTCCATTTAATTTGTGAAATGTGAACAGCTTGAACTGCAGCAAAGATTAAAGAACAACACTCGTACTTTAAAAATGATTCAGCCTTTAATTCTGCATTTTAAACTGTTTAGAAGTTGAGTTAAAATTATTTTGAATAGTGTGAATGAAGATAAAAATGTTTCCAAATCTCTGATCTTCTAAAATGGCTCAAATTGTCTTTTAACCTCAGTTTGAAATAATGTTGACAGTTCTCTGACGCTGTTTTTAAATCTGTCTGAGGAACAGGTTACCTGTGGTCGTCTCTTATTTTGGGCTGATAATGTCCTTTAACAGTGGATCTCATTAACTTCTGCCCTTTTGAGAGTTTTAACAGTAAATATGTTTTTTTTATTTCCAAATTTAAAACCTGGTTGTTTTATTTCCAGTGCAGTTTGATATCTTTCTGCTCATATGAGGACTCTTTCTGTGCTGATATGCATGAGAGGTTTCTTAAAGGAAGTGAAACAATGTGTGAGTGAGTGACTGGTGGAGCAGAAACCAGCTGTGTGGTCCCCGTCCTCTAAGCCGATTGGTTCTTCTCCTAGGTGATGCCCGTCCCACCCTGACGGTGCTGCCCCCCTCCAGCGAGGAGCTGCAGCAGGGGAAGGCCACGCTCATGTGCCTGGCCAACAAGGGCTTCCCCTCAGACTGGAGTCTGGCCTGGAAGGTGGACGGCAGCAGCGGCAGCAGCAGCAGCAGCAGCAGCAGCAGCTGGGAGGAGAGCAGGAGCCCCGGGGTGCTGCAGAAGGACGGCCACTACAGCTGGAGCAGCACCCTGAGGCTCTCTGCAGACCAGTGGAGGAAGGTGGGCTCTGTGACCTGTGAGGCCACCCAGGGCTCCCAGACTCCGCTCTCAGAGACACTGAGGAGAGACCAGTGTTCCCAGTCCTGACCTGACTCACTGGGACTCTGCTACTGGTTTTCCTCTGCTCCTGCTCTCACTCTGCACTCTGGAACTGTCTCTCTCTTTTATTTCACATCTTTCAACAGCAAGATTTACTAGCTTGTTGCACTGTTTCAATATTATTTCAGTGTTTCCAGATAATAAAGACCTCTTCATCCAATCAGCTGTTTTCAGGTTTATTATTATCAAAGTGTCTTAATAAATGTTCTCTTCATGGTGTCAGTGACTGTTTTACGTCCAGCAAAAATGTTAACAAGAATCTCCATTATGATTTTACAAATTATTAGTAAGACTGTGTAATGAAAAGACAAAAATAATGTATACTGAAGAGTTTTTACACTCAAACAAAACTCCCCATTATATCTTTATTATTTTGTAAAAACCAGTAAAATCCAGTATTTGTTCCAATCAATTAAAATGCCTTCATGACTGTAAAACCTTTTTCTGTTATAATCATTACAGATTTGTGTGCAATATAAAACAAATAAAACAAAACCAATGGTAGGAAAATTTCAATGAAAAGCCTCCAATCATCTCTTATCACTGAATAACATTTGTTAAAGACTCTCTTTAATATGATAATAGTTTAGGTGTTTCCAAATAATATGTATTCTTCTTCAAATATAACTAGTATGAAAAATATTTTATACATCTGAAATAAGTAGTGTATCATCAGCATAGATACAAAATAAGTCATCTTCAAATGTAAAGCTGGAAATATTTACATACGGCTTCTGCTGAAGAGCTCAACCACAAGACAAATGAAAATAATGAAAAGGGGAAAGAATCAAAGTGTTACTGAATTACACTCCATAAATCATTTTTGGTTTCAACCATAAAATACACCAGTTGTGTCAGTCGTTTGAGATTCTCACTAAAACTCTGATGCATTACTTCTGATAACGTGGCCATGTTGCTCTCCGGTTCTGATTTGAGTTTGTGGAGGAGGAAGCTGTGGGGAATTTACATCTCCTGTAACATCGATCTTTGCGAAGCTCATAATGTTCAACTTTTGTTGACCTTGTCAGAAATGTGTAAATTCAGTCATTTGTTTATTACTGGTCAAGGTGCTGTTTTACATTATTTTTGTTTCTAATGATTTGTAATACAGGTGTACCTAATAAAGTGGATATTGTATTTCTTAGCTTCATCAATAATGTCAAATGTTTTGGGTTAAAGAGTACTTCAAAGTGTTTTACATGCAGATTTTTAGGTATTTCTTGAATGTGTTCAAAGACTCAGTATGTTTCCAACTATGTATCCTTCAGTTTCAAGTTTCTGCTTTAGAATTGTTGATTTCTTCTTGACTAATGCAGTATTCTCAGTGAGATTGAAAAAACAGGTAGCTTTAACAAATCAGTCAAAGATGAAACATTTTCTCCAGAATAAAAGATTTAGTGTTTTTGTGTCATGTCCTTATAAAACCATTTTTTTCCTGATTGAAACTTTGCTTTAAATTGGAGTTTAAGTAAACTGTAGAAGTGTGATCATGTCTCATGAAGAAGTTTCAAATGTTTAGTTTCAGTGCAGCTGTTGAGTCAGATCAGTTCCTCTCCACCTGAGGGAGGTTTTTGTACGACGTTGAAGCTGCCACTCTGCTGACAGTAGTAAACTCCTGAATCTTCAGTCTGAACTCCACTGATGGTCAGAGTGAAGTCAGTCCCAGATCCACTTCCACTAAAACGATCTGGAACTCCAGACTGACGGGTTGTAATTTTATAAATCAGGAGTTTAGGAGCTTCTCCAGGTTTCTGAAGGTACCAATGCAGGTAGCCAGTACTACTAGTGGCTTTACATTTGAGAGAGACAGCCTGTCCTGGAACAACAGACTGAGATCCAGGAGACTCAGTCAGGACGTTTTCTCCTGATGAACCTGGAAAAGATGAAAAAGAGGAGAAGGGTTATTGAGACAAATCCAGCTTGGAGAAAGATGATCAGCATCCAAACAGAAGAGTCTCATTTCTTTAAGATGGAGAACAGATGGAAGAAGGTAAATGCTGCTTGTTTCAGTGTTTCTCCATCACAGCAGAACATCATTGTGGTGAAGCTGGTTGCATCCTGAAGCAAAGTTTTCAGAAGAGAGTCTCACCCTGAACAAGGAGCCCCAGGGTGGCCAGCAGTAGAATCAGTGACATCATCATTGTGCTGCCGGCGTGTCAGTGGCTCTGAAAGGCCTGGACAGCCACTGATCAACACTGGCCTCTTAACGGCTGGGAGCAGAGAGGCAGGACAGATATGCAAACACACAGAGTCAGTGAACTGTAGCTGTCCTCAACATATCATGCTGTTTCCTCCTCACTGTTGGGACAGCTGCCTCACAAACAGGCTATATTTGTGACATGAAAGAACCAAATTAGAAATTTTTCAAATCAAACTTCTGAAGGTTTTAAATTGACCTCAAACTGTCTTTGGGTTGAATTCATTCAGCAGAGGGAGGAGGATTCAGACTTAGACAGTCAGGGCACACAGGGACAGTTCAGTCATTTATAGATCAAAGTGAAGATGAAAAAGCTTCCTGGCAGGGCAGTACAACTGACAACTGCACACCCAGGGCTAGTGAAGTGCTGCAAGAACTGAAGCCTACATGTTGCTACCTGCCACTATGTATAAATTATGTTTAAAAAAGTTTCCTTAATCATAAATATCTGCCGTGACAGCAAACTGTATGAAGGCAGTCTAAGCTACAATTCGTGCTTGATGACCAGTGGTGTCAAGCACATTAACTCAGAGTGTGCACGTTCAGTCAGTCAGTGTCGTCCCTCAGACAGCATCACGACCCAGAAGTTTATCCATGACTTACGGTTCATGAGTCTTTCACGAGTTATACATTTGCACAAGTAGCTCTGAACAGTTGCCTGAACAATCTTACCTGCTGATCCCACAGCTGTTCACAACTCCTCCCTTGACAAGGAGAGTGCATTTTAAACTGGCATAACACAGGTTAATTATAATCAATGCACGTAAAAGATGCAAATGATTTTAGTATAAAGCCTAGTGACTTCTGCTAGGCACAGTACAAGACATAACATAAGATGTAACATTATTAAATAAATTTCAGTTGACACAGCAGCACAAAGGATTATAAACGAACAGAAACAGTATTATAGAACTATCAACACACTATTTACACTATACAATCAATAATGATCACTTACAGACATGCAGCAGAGAGGACAGGTAAATGTCCTTTTCTTATCACTTTGATACCAATGAAAAATATGGATTAATGGGGTATTTAACTAACTGTTGACGTTCAAAGTAGGCTAATTAGCTTCTGTATGGACGGCCTCACTAATGTCACATTTTGCCTCATTAGATGTGCTTGTCTGTATCAGGAATATGGTCTTCTATAAAAGTATGTTTTAAAAAAAAGAGTTCTCTGACGCTGGACAGTTATCACTGTGTACCCATACATTTGATGTCATTAGAAGGAAAACTGTTGGTTGCTGCTAAACAGCGGGGAGGCGACGAATGGTTAAAACATTTAAACAAAATCCGACAGATGATCCTGGGAAAAAAGGATCGGTTGGCAGCTGGAGGTCGGAAAAAAAGAGGAGAACTAAAAAGAATGGAGAAGCTGAAGAAAACAGCGGGTAGGCACAACTATGTTGAGAATGGGCCAGCGTGGGGAGATTCTGACATAGCCGATAGTGACGGAAGCATGGAGATAAGTCAAGATGGTGGGAAAATGAGGGACAAAAGAGAAAATACTTTTGCTGGGACCAGTACAAAGAGGATCAGGAGTAATGAAGAGTACAAGAAAGGATTAAAGCAAAAAGGTCAAGAAGGGCTGGAGTTTAAAATCATACTGAGATTTGGTGAGAGGAGGGGGAATTTCGTCAATGGGTCCGGTGAAATTGACAACTGTCTTGAGAAACCAGGTCGGGGACATTGTAGTAGCCAAGGTGTTGAGAGATGGCAATTTAATGATCGGTTGTAAAAACAAAGAACAGAGAGAGCGGGCTGGAAGGATTAAAGAAATTGGGAGATTCAAAGTAATAAGTACAAGCCAAATTGAAAGAGGAAGTAAGTGGAGTAAAGGAGTGATTTGGGGGGTGCCAGTCGGAGTTACAATGGAGGAAATCAAATCAAATCTAAAAGGAGGAAGTCTAAAAGGTTGCAGGTAACTCGGGAGGGAGTGAGGAAGGACAGTGAGCATGTGGTACTGGAGTTTGAGGAAGAAATGCTCCCAAAGAATGTAACACTAGGTTTTTTGAGTTCTAGCGTAAGAGAGTATTTACCGAAACCAATGAGGTGTTACAACTGTCAAAGGTTTGGACATACAGCAAATGCATGTAAAGGCAAAAGAAGGTGTCCTAGATGTGGAGAAGATCATGAGTATGGTCACTGTAATCATGAGCAACCAAAATGTTGTAACTGTGGGGGAAATCATAGTGTGGCTTATGGGGGATGTGAGGTGATGAAAAGGGAAATTCAGAATAAGGTCACATATGCAGAGGCAGTGAAGATGGTCAGTAAGAGTAGGGGGAGTGAGGAAAGAAACAGAGATGAAAGACAACCCATTACAGAACCAGATCAGGCAAAGGAGGGAATATTAATGGTGGATTTAAAGAAGCTAGTCTCTTTCATAGCAGAGGTTAAGTCTAAAACAGAGAATACAGATAATCGTAAAGGCAGCAGCTCATCACCTAAATATCAGCGGGTTAACATGGGAGGAGGTGAGGAATGAGCTTAGCAGTCAAGCAAGCCAGGAGCAAGCATGGGTTGGATAATATTAATAATGGTCCTCTTGCTACAATGGAATACTAGAAGTTTGTTGGCCAATGGACAGGAATTTAAAAAGTACATTGATAATCTCCCCAATAAACCAGATGTCATTTGTGTACAGGAAACATGGTTGAGACCAAATTTAGATTTTAGTATAGTAGGATATGCCTCTGTTAGGTGTGATAGGGGGGATAGAGAAGGGGGAGGATGTGCAACATTTATTGGGAATGATATTTCATTTAGAGAAATGAGTGTAGGGGGGAAAGAGCAAGAATATGTTACTGTAGAGATATGGACAAGTGAGGGAGAGCTTGTAATTATAAACTATTATAATCCTTGTAGGAAATTAGAGTTGGGGCGGCTGACACAAATGGTGGGGCTGGATGGTCGTATGTGGGGACTTTAATGCACATGGCACGTTATGGGGAGGAG